TAGCCATCAAAGCCGGGTAACAGGGTTTTCTAGATATACTTGTTAGTTTAGCCAAGAATCTAGCGGTGGCCTAGAGGGATTATATTGACTCATCTGCGGAGTTATCTGGCCTTTGAGCCCCTCAAAGGCTGTCCATGTCTTTCGGCAAAGAATGTTGTCCCCATCGTTCACATCCCACACAGCGGCCTTTCTTGCGGGCTTCAAACTCCGGCTCGTACGTCCTCTCAAGCTCGCTGCCTCTAGACCGCCAGTAGAGCTTGTATCCTGGATTGACAGACCGGGAGATTTGGAAGTATGCAACGAAGCCTTGGGGCCGAAACCAAGTGGAACAGTCTCAAGCGGCGATCTTGATGAGACTTCGACGCGGTGGAGGGAGCGCTTCGTTAAGAAGGGCACGCAATTACGAGGAACATGAAACGGAGCAGGGATGGAGGGAGAGACAGCCCTCTAATGTCCCAGAGATACCGAGAATGTACGAGCCGGACCGGGAGGGTCGAGCAAGCGGAAAGGATGAGCGGCTGGAATGCATGTATGACAATCCGCAAGTCGACCCGAATACATAGCAATAGCACGTTTTTGAGACTTACAAGGATGATCGAAAGGGCGTAGTATGTCTATCTAAAGGGTTAGACCATTTCCGTAAAGTGGAGGAGATGAGTACCGTGGAAAAGCCGTACTAGAACTGCCTGTCACTTATGAGCAGACCGATGCGGATTCGACGCCACTCATCTTGGTACCAGGAGGTGCACTAGGGGTCCGCCGTGGGTTTTGAAAACATCAAGTGGCGGAAAGCGGGGTGGAGAACTGCGCGCGGCGTTAGTAGCCGCGCCCGTCGAAGGAAACGCCCACGCCCCGTGACGGCCAAGACCTAGCGAACCAGCTGCCGGAGAAGACCCGCACCCCTCTCTCCCTCGCCTCTCAACTATCACTTGTCGTACGGCGATGCTATCCTCGTCACCACAGATCCCAGCGCTTCAACGCAAGATCATCAGAGCAGCGTTGCTCCCTTTTCCGTTCCAGGCATCGATTGCTCAGAATTTCACAATCCGCCGAGGCAAATGCCGACTTCAAAGCTGCTCTCCGGGGACGATAGAAAAAGTCGTTGGCAGCCCCGGAGGCAAGCCGCTGCCCTCTACGATCCACTTCGCAAATTCGTCCAGAAACAAGTAACGGACGATGACGCACAGTCACCAAAGCACCTGTTTGAGTGGCTTTCACTTGCCACGGTGCCCACCCAGCATGGCGACGAAGAATTCGCACCAATTCCAGGACTGGAGCGTGATTCTGGTGGAGTACATGTGTAAGCAGCCAGAGCTCCGTCACATGACTACGGTCCTATGACTAAGCTCGATCAACTACTACAAGAGCCTCTGATTTGTACACTACACATACACATAAGGACACATACATGAGCTACACACAATACACACGAGAACCCTCAATTCACCCATCATATCTGCTCTCTATCTCCAGTGACACCTGGCCCCCACCTGCTTACAACATGCGAACGGAATCATTGAAGACCTCAACTACACCTTGACAATGCGCTAAGACAGCCGTCGCCATTTCCCTTCATCCCTCCATATTTTCCCCATAATTGTGAGCTGCAAGGTGCGTATATGCTGGAGGGCTACAAGCTCTCAAGTCTAACTAGGAGCAGTCACCATGTCACAGTCAAGAGCCCCAAACCCGGATATTTTACAGACTCATCAATTAAAACCCTTGAACGATGCCTTCTGCAAGGTTGAGTCACCTTGCAGCTATCCTCTCTGGCTACACGGCCCCCACGGCGGTTCACAGACACATCTGGACTGAAGAGTTGCTGAACATTGACCCCAGCCTCTGCCTGCAAGCGCAGTCCAGGCCACGCTCACCGTCCTCCACCATAATCACTCGTCAATGAACACCATGACTATAGAGAACACCGAGAAGCACGACGGCTTGATTTATCATCTACACTCAACCGGAAAGGCTAAATATATCTCCTTCGCTATTACTACAGAGTATCTGCAGCGCTTTCAACAGTACGTATTACGTTTGGTACGTTCCACTTCATTACGGTCACGTGAGCCGTACGTAGGGAACAGCTTCTTGAACCGTTACGTTACGTTTGTGAAGCTCAAACGTATTAACGTATTACGTTTGAGTTCTTGGCAGTGAATGTTCCACAGTCAAGCTAGTTTTCTTAGTAATTTGCTTATAAAACTGCGAGCACAAGGAACTAGTAGGCTGCAAAATTACGTTACGGTGCTACGTTTGACCAAACGTACGTAACGTAACAGAGCTACGTTTGACCAAACGTACGTAACGTAACAGAGCTTTCAACCGTTACGCTTGTGCAACCGTAAGTCAGCTCCTTGTCAGGCCAACCGCACGTACGCAACCGAAATCCGAGACGTAACGCTGACAAATATGGTAGTACAGTAGCGTGTTACTTACTGTTGAAAGCGCTGAGTATCTGTCCGGACCCGCTTCCCGGATCTGGTGAAGGACTTTGAGAGGCCAGATGTGGTAGCGATGTTAGACATTCGGGTCCAGATTGAGACGATTCTATCATTAGTCTATTCTCGTCTTCATCTTCTTCCTCCTCCTCTTCCAACACCCATAACAGCTCGATATCCAAACTTTCCCGCAAGCTTCTTCGTTGGCTCCGATGAAGTGGCAGAATTTGCAAAAGAATATTCAACCTTCGTCAAGCCCTCCGCAACAGCCCCTTACGCATTTCTCCCCCCCCCCCCCCCCCTATCCCATCACAGAGCGGAAACTCTACCTGCGAACCTCGCCAGCACATGCTACCTTAGTGCCACTCGGAATATTGTCTTGCTCTTTGCAGCTTCAGCACCACCTCAAATGCTTCGTATTCCACTACTCTCCTCCCCTGCCCGTTCTCAACATTTGCGTCTCAGCCCTTCTCCTCGCTCTTCTCCCCCTCGCTGCTGCAATGTCAGCAAGTCCAACTCAAGCTCCTTGTCCAGCAACCCATGCTAGACGATGCACTCAAGGCGCAGGGTCAGCCTGAAGAGCGTGCGCACGAAGAGGAGAAGATAGCCATAGGGTCTTTGCGCTGCCGGAGCCCCTCTCCACACGAATTCCGTATCCCCTCAAAGTAAACCGGCGAGAATCGAAGGTGTATACATACCGTCATCTTCCAGTGTTACTGAAGCTCATCTGCGGTCTTCGAGGCTGTGGAGACGATTGCCATTTGGCATGTTGCTGTTAATTTTCGGCATCGGGCAGGTTGACAGTAATACGACGGGAATAACTAGGTAACGCCTGGAAAGTGGCTATGAGGACAGATCAACTGGGTAGCATCTCTGCGTGTGTGGGATGACCGTGGAACCGTCGGACCTTACCCAGAAACCTACTGTAGCTCGAGAATGTGTAGAATTGGCAAACAAGACCAAGTCCCAGTTTCTGGGCAAACATGTCCCACGAGATCCGAACGCCGATGAACGGCATCATCGGCATGACCCAGCTTATCGTGGATACGGACCTCACACACGCGCAACGGTGAGTGTGGGGTATTGAGATGACCCAGCTTAACCTTGGAACACTTAGAGTTCTTCTCACGACTTGGATGAACTTGGTAGGGGTTGTTTCCGGGTCTGTGGCGGGAACACGAGAGAAGTAGTGTCATCGCTACTTCACTGGCTCTACACAAACGGGCAAGATTGATCTATCCAGATTGTACTAACATGGAGACCGCTTCTTGCCCCTTGTATGGACTTGCTAGAAGGTTTTTACTAGTATCTTTCTGTGGCGGGAGCATAAATTGAATTAGAGGCCCTGAATGGACCAATTACCTATTGCACCCGTAAAATACGGTCCACTTCCGCGAAGGGTAAGTAAAGATCCACCGCTGCTTTCTTCAATCGCTGATGAACCTCATACTACACCTGTTTAGCAAAAGACTTCAACAAACCTTCCTGTCGTTGCCTGTATCACAGCATAGCCTGAAGACCTACAAGTCCACGCTTCGAGCATGGATTTGCCATTATATAAACTACGGACGAATGTGGTGTTTATAGTGTTACTTACATCAAGGTATGGCAAATGCTTCTTCCAGCTTCGACGATTTGCGGAGATGTTTGAGCAGCATTCAAAATAGCCGCCAACGACCGTGCTCGCTGCCCTTAAGCTCTTCCCAGTCGTACTCCAATCAACTGTCTCCTATCTAGCCGACTATTCTCTTAGTCTGCCAGCAGAATAGCCGAACAATGATACCTACTTCGTTTGTTAACTTCTCTTTCTTCGAAACCTCCTCTATCAAGTCCAACTACCAGCAGATCTCCAAAATGACCTTTCAATTGCCTGGCCTTTCTTCATCGCCATGCTGAGTCTCAATGGCATCATTCACTGCTCTGGAATTCAAGGCGGACATCTTACCATTTCCATCTCATTTATGAAACATTCCAGCTTCATCGTAGTCATCGAATGATGTAGTATTGTGGGGTATTTTCCAGCTGCACTTCTGAATTCCTGAGTAATAGATTACTTGTCCAGCAAAGCTTCTAAGCTTATCTCCTTTCCTGGAAAAACTTCAATCAGACGTATCGCATCTTTCAAACACGTGCTCGTTGATAGAGAAGTCACTGAGCTGTTTTAAGGGGAATGGTGTGAGATAGATGATTATTCAAGACTCCGACACTACGAGCATGTTCGGTGCTCGAGCTAGGCTGACATTCGCCGTTCTGGAGAAGGGAGCTGTCACTGATTTCGTGACGGCAAGAGGCTGTTAAATCCTATCTTATTCGTCATTGATAAGCTTTTTGAAGTAATAGCTGCTAAGATGTTTTATATCTAGCACTTTGCAGATGACATTTTCTTCATTTTCGTCGTGAAGAAGATGTTCGGCCAGCCCTTAACCGCGCTAGCCCCTATCCACAAACCAAGAAGCCACGAATATCGCAGTCATACCCCAGGCATAAAAATCCTTAGAATCAAAAAAAGAAAATGCAGAACCTCTGAATCGACCTCACGACCGCAAGAAAGGAAGTTCATGGGTTAACTAGAACTCGAATCTAGGACCTCCGTCTTTTGACAAAGCGGCCTGATGGGTCGCCGACTGCCCATCAGCGCCGCCACAGTCCTCAGGCGCTCTGCCAACTGAGCTATTAACCCGTGTTATTGAATTATACTCATTCTTGAAACGATTGTGATATAGATACGTTGATCAACCTCTTATTTCTCATCGTTAAAAAGAAGCGGGGATTCCGATAATGTGACAGTGGGGCACCGCACAGGGATCCCAAAGACGGAAGGCACACAATAGCAGCCACACCGCGGCTCCAAGAGGCTAGTTGCTCCAAAAAAAACAGAAATCCCAGCAAAAACAAAAAGAAAATTTGGGCTAATTGCGACTCGAACGCAAGACCTTCCCGGGATACAGACCATCGCTTTCGACAGATGAAACAACCACACCTCTCAACTTGTCCAAACTAACACGGTGCTAGTTTGGAGATGTTGAGAAGTATGGTTGTTTCTTCCGTAAAGAGAGGAGGCTTGGCTTTCTCCATTTGGACGCTCTACCACTGAGCTATTGGCCCGAGAGATGAGTTTATTTAGTGAGGGGATTGAGGTTTAGATAATATATATACGTGTTGTTGGTGAGGTTGGAAGGAAGCAATATTATGGGCTTTATGAGTTGGTTTAGTGGAAATGTTATTAAGTGACGGCGAGAAAGGAGCTCTGACGCAAATAGCGGTTTAGTAGTGAATAAATTGTTCTATTCCACCTTCGATTTGGGTGGGACACCGCTGTTGTGGTTAAGGAACACCATGTAGGCTTATACGACAACGTCCAGGAAGGCCGTTCTCAAGAACCGAGATTGGGAGTCAGAACATTGGTATTAATTAAGACTGACACAGAGTTACGAGCAAGGCAGGATTAATGTTTGGATGAGAAGAGAAGAGTCCATTATCTACGGCTTCCAAGACACAAAAAGCAAACCGCAAGGAAAGCAGCCTCCCTAAAGAGAAATCACTCGCTCAAGCTTTTCCCCACCTTCTACTGCTTCGCCAAGAAGTTCTCTAGGCTTTTGTGAAGCCAGAAGACCCACGCAGATCCTTCGCCTTTACCCCTCCCTCCCCAAACCGCCTTCCAAGAAGGCCAAAGCCGAACCTGACGGTCACCTCCTCAAAATTCTTCTCCGGAACGCGAACCGCAACGTATTTCTTAAATATCTGGGCGGTCGCAGCGGGAAGCGCAGGCGGCGCGCGGGAACTCCAAGGAACTCCTCCAAAGAACGTACGTCGTGGACATAGGCGCGGACGCAAGCGGGACCTTCGCTATCGCCGACACTGTTCATCAAAATAAGCAGATTCATATAGTGAATCTGCAATGCAATTGTGCAAGCCTCAAAGCGAAGCGAATCAGCCTCCTTCGACAGGAAAACGTTGAAAAAGGCGTCCAAAGACGGACCGTGACCCCCGGTGGTGTGAATTGGCGCTTTCTCTCCCGTGGCGGGAACGGGGGACCAAACGTAGCTACATCCTGAGACAAATCAGCAAATGAAGCAGAAAGATAAAGGCGAAGAGATATTACCGGTGGCTCTTCATCGACGAGGGTCCCGAACTAGCGCCCCTTACCCGCATCGAAGCTCCAGAGCAAATCGCTACCCGAAGGAAGCTCGTCCTCTCCGCCAACGGTGACTTTGCGGCTGCCGATAACAGCCTCGTCGCAGATGGGAAGCGGTGCTTTGAATCCGCGTTCGTCCGTCGCGTCGATGTCGCTCAGACGAAACGTCGATACGTTTTCTTCGAGGCAGAAACAGAATTGACAGGCGTGGATTTGCGTGTTTCCGACGGGTGGGCGAGAGGGATAACCCGCTGCGGGATTGAGTGGCTGAAAGCGAAGGCGAGCAGGAAGTCGTCCATAGTGAACCGGTGTTAAGAGATGTGTCGTTGGAGAGGGAATTTTGGTGTTTGTGGGAAAGGCTAAAAAAGTGAATGTCTACCCCCCGGGAGCTTGATGAGCGATTTGATCACGGGATCCTGGCTTTGTCAATTCTTGCAAGCAAGCCACTAGAATTACTATCTCTATCTCATCTAAGCTAATTTATATTATCTAAATCGTCAAATCGCTAAAATGAGTCATTAAAAATTCCTCTAAGCTGGTTGTAGTAGGCGGGCCGCAGTGTAGGATCTTGCATTCCTGTCGTAACCGTCGCAAATACCCCTCGAGCTTGCGGTCGGTGGCCTGGATGCGCCTCTTCTGCTCGATGTTTACTTTGTTAGTGCTCATGCAGATACCCATGGTGCCTGGCGGGTGATGCGGCTCGCGGGTGCGGGAGAGATGGAGAGGTCGTGACTTCAGAGGAAGCCGCGGCTGAGCTGTTGCCGGTAGCATCGCGAACTCGTTATCGAAGGTCGTACGTCAGGTGGGTTGCTTTAGGCGCCCGAGCAAGGCGAGTGAACTGTAGCTAAGGAAAGTTAGAAATAGCGTTTCATCAACGGAGGGTTGCTGGTCCTAATACTGACAAGAAGCAATTAGAACAGCACTGTTGGTGCCGGTCACATCCGTGGTTGTACTTCCAGAGGGTAATGCGTTCGCGGAGCGACTTCACTGGGTATCCGACCCGAAGTTGGAAACTTTGCCCGCCGGTCACTTCTCCGCAGAATCATCCGTCATGTCGACATCAGCATCCGAGCCCTCGGGCGTCTCTGGAGGTTGCGGCCTGTTCAGTTGTAGGTCTTTCCTTACATTGCTCGCAGCCGCTTCCGCCTCTTTTTGAATTGGAGCTTTAATTTGCGCGGTATGCCAGCCTTAACAGGGTCAACGTGTAAACCACGTCTGTGGCGGTCATTGTTGAGACTGGCGTGGTCGTCGTGTACTAGGTTACCGTAACGTTAATAGTAGACTGGAACTTAGAGCTGGTTGGAGAGTTCGAGCTCATTGGGGCCGGCGCCATGCATGAGGCTCGGAAGATGGCGGACATCTCGGCAGTGCTTGTGATATGGAGCAACAATAATCGCGTTCGATTCGACGACCGTGGTAGTGATCTCAGTGGAGATCATAACCGTCGACGTCTCATTATGGCATGGGTCGAGGCTAGATCTCATCAGCAAGCGCTAGGATCAAACAATGTTCAACGTACCGGACGCGCCCCAGAAAGATGCCACCACTGGGTAGTGGAACCTGCTCATGGTCGCTCCAGCAGCAGAGAGATCTGTGTGCATATCGTAAGCAGTAATCAACATTAGGGTGCTGCGCTAACTCACCTTCAACTTGGTGGGGACGAGTCCCACGCTGCCCATGCGTGCCGCCAGTGACACTGTGGCATGTGGAGAAATTGATGACCGTACTCAACCACCCGCTCCCCCGACCGTCACATCTTGTACGACCACCCGCATACGGTCATCAATTTCTCCATGCCTGTCGACATGAAAAATTGATGAGCATATCCGGGTGGTCGTGCAAGATGTGAGGCGTGTCGAGCTAAGGTGGCTAACGACCGAGAAAAGGTGTTGAGGTAGAAGAGAGGGGAGAGGGAGGAGGGAGAGGCGAAGAAAGTGGAAGACTCCACGGAGACGCTAGTGAAATTAGCGAGCAACGCCAAGACGATGGGCTCCCCGAAGAACGAGCTGGATGAGAGCGGTGGGTGCAGAGATAAGGATCACCTACTCCCAGGGCACCTGGCCCGGATTTTCGCAAGCAGAGTTGGTGGCAAAGTTAATATATTGATAGAGACCGGTGTTTTCATAGTGACTAGTTCACAGACTCGACGATGTTTAGCAGCATGACCCGTTTCTGCGCTGTGACTGTTTATGTTGTGGTTTCACAGCCCATTACTTGCTGCATGCAGTTCTGTATGCTTTGTTGTGACTAGAAAACCCATGATCTCCCACCGGAAACCCTGACCTCCCCAACTTGCAGAGAATCCAACCACAACGACATGGCATGAGCAATATGGCTTCCCACATTCCCTTAATTACGGATCTGCTATCGAGAGTACCGCAAGACTCCGAGGGTACTATTCACCTTAGCTAGCTCAAGACGAATTTTACAATGAGTCGCAGATACAACCCAGCAAACGCAACCTTCGACCCTCCTCTTTCCAAATTCCGCATCATCCCAGAGGTTGAGCACTCCGCGCTCCCCCTTACAAAACAGTCGCCAATCACACACGAAGAGGATGAAGAGCCTGTAACCACACCCTCCGCCCTGGGGCCGTTTGAGGCACTCTTGGCCGAGAGCCTCGCGTGAATGATGAAAAAACTGGTACAATATTCCGTCATGGGCACCGCCTCGTATGTGCTGGATATCAGATGTGAAGTTTCACGAGCGAGAGATCTTGGGCGTTCCGTCGATGTTTCAGAGCTATCTGGTGGCTATGGAAAACTTCAAGGCTTGGGTGTAGGTTCATCACATTGCAAGTCTTCCTTCTTCGGCGATAAGATGTTTAGTGACTGACTACTCTGTAGATGAACTACGACGAGAAATGGGGTGTATCGAACGCGAAATACTGGCTGCAGAAGGCTGAAGCAGTGGCCCAGATCAAGGATCTTCCGCTTTATATCGACAGCCTGTCCTTTCCCGTTTCACTGAGCCTCTTGTTTGGAATGGAGCAGGTATTTCTTCGGAGGCTCGATAAAGATGGCAAATTGGATCTTCCCAAGTTCTTCTACACCCACGCCTGTCTCCGAGGCTTCTATATGGACCTTCCGCTTGAGGATGTTCGTGCGTACTGAGAGATGAAGGCAAAATTGGGTGCAGGGAGGCAATACTGGTGGATGGAGACTGGGGGTGGGATTAAAATCAGAACATAACTTCATTCCTGGGGGCTCTTGTTATAATGGCCGAACTGATAGATGGTTCAATTCTTATTCCCATCGCCTTCTTAACTCTCCTCCTCCCAGGCGACATGGGTCATCACCTGTAGATATTATGTTGGTGGAAATTGGCACGGTGGTACAGCAGAGAAGGATAAATAGCAGGAACAATGATGGCCATGGAAGCTCTCAGCATCTTCACATCCGTCTTTTCAATGCCAGAGACCTCTTAAATAGTTACGTACAAAGAAAATGTGTATCCAATTCCGCCGTGTGAACTTCTGTCTGCTCGAGCGTCGCGCCGTGAGGCCTATTTCATACAATTAGCTGATTTTCTTCAATGAGTACTTAAAATTACATACCAGATTCTGCGAGGGAATCTCTGCTCATCCAAGAACGCAGCCTCGACAATCCGGAGGACCTCCTTTGTGGTTGCAGATTGGGTAGAATCCCTTTCCCCAGCTGATAGTGCTGGTCCAGTTTAAGTACGAACAACACCTGATAAATTGTGTAAGGCTTTTCGATGTGACTCGTGGATCTTTTTCGGTCATTTTTGCGGTTAAGGCAGTGGAAATTTGCTTGAGAAGTGGTAGAGTTTCGGGGCTGTCGTACAAGTGAGGTATACCCAGAGATATCTCGAAGTGTGCTGCCCAAGGGCAACGCGGCAGAAGCACGGCCCGCATCGTTTGGCCCGTGGCTGTCGTCAGGCAGCTTTTCGCGCTAAAGCACAGAACTGGTGTTTATCATAATACTCCCCGCCACCAACCCTCCAACTT